GAAGTATACAAACCGGATTTACAATCAGTACAAACCATACAAACATACGAACAGTACAAACTAGAGCGACAAAACATACAAACAGATTTACAAACATTACAAACGTATGAACTGTACAAACAATACAAACTAGACCGACAAACAATACAAACCATACAAAAAGAAAAAACAACCGGGTTGACTTTCGATGCTCCATCCCTATATAGAGGGGCTCCTTCCCAAAGTCAACCCGGGTGTTTTTTAGACATACAAACAGTACGACATGGTGGACAAAAATGACAAACTAGACCGACAATCCATACGAACGGGAAAAAACACCCGGGTTGACTTTGGAGGCTCCATCCCTATATAGAGGGGCTCCTTCCCAAAGTCAACCCGGGTGTTTTCTTGACATAAAAAACATTACGAACATGGTGCAGAAAAATGACAAAGTTTACAAACATGGTGCACAAAAATAACAAAGTTTACAAACATTACAAAAAAAATCGACAAACATTACAGAATAACAAAGCATACAAACATTACAAAATATGTCAACAAACATCACAAAATTAGCACTGTCGCCGGGAAATTCTTCTCCGGCGACGATGTTCGCCGGAAAAAAATTTCCGACCAGAAAATCTTCGCTGAAAAAAATTCCCGACCAGAAAATCTCTCTCTCTCTCTCTCTCTCTCTCTCTCTCTCTCTCTCTCTCTCTCTCTCTCTCTCTCTCTCTCTCTCTCTCTCTCTCTCTCTCTCTCTCTCTCTCTCTCTCTCTCTCTCTCTCTCTCTCTCTCTCTCTCTCTCTCTCTCTCTCTCTCTCTCTCTCTCCCTCCCTCCCTCCCTCCCTCCCTCCCTCCCTCCCTCCTGGGGAAAAATCCCCAGCAAATTGGCAATCCCACCCACACGAAAGCTCTCTGTTGGGGATATAAAGAAGCACAAACAAAGGGGAAGGAGATTCGCGCAGCGAAACGGAACAATTTAGAAGCTGAAAAGGGGAGAAAGAAGGGTGATTTGTTCTTCGGTTCGTCGGCGGGGAAGATGATCGAGGTGGTGCTGAACGATCGGCTGGGGAAGAAGGTTCGGGTGAAATGCAACGAGGACGACACGATCGGCGACCTGAAGCACGATCGACCCCTCTGGTGGGAATAAAAATCCCAGGGAGAGGACCACGCCGCCGGAGCGTGTTGGCGTGCCGCCGGACTCGTGCTGCCGCCGTCGGACTCGCGCGGCCATGTCGGCGGAAATTCCCAATAAGGATCGCGACGGTAGGATGGAGCGACAGTTGAATATTGTTTATTATTTTATTTTAATTTTTAAATAAATAAAATGTGTAGTTACAATCTTGTCCTTCCTTAAACTAGATAAATTAGAACCATCAGATTTTAATGAATCTGGATGGTTGAGATTGACTTAGTCATGTGACTAAGGGGACCCCCTTCTTTTGGCTCTTCCGCGCTTTCACCAGTGAATCAACACATAAGCGACTAGCTTGTCTTCCCGAAATAGCTAGGAGCTTTTCTTTTTTTCCCAATCCAGGCAAAGCATCAAGGAGTAGGTGAAATTGTAACACCGGCAGATTGGAGCTATCAGACTTAGCCAGCAAGCCATATGCTTTCTTTTTTTCAAAGGACCGCCAATCATGTTGTAAACTGTCGACTTTTTTTCTTTACATCCTTTTTGTCAACATATTCTAGAAGCCTACAGAGGAAGGAAGGGGTTTAGATTGTAAAATCTGTCATGATCAAGTTATGTCTACCCTCTGATTACTTTTATCTCCTTCTCAAGAATTGACAAGTGTTCACTTTTCTTAGGGCATGTCTCCTGATTCACCTCTGTTCAGTCATTTTGCTTACCCACCACCAAAATCCAGGACCAATAAGCCCCTTACAGATCTGTAATAGCCATAGCTCCATCTAGCTTCAACATAACAATTAGCTCTTAAAAACAGCCCTACTACCATTGCACAACATGTCCTGAAACTGGAGCTTGATGGTTTTCAAGGTACACTACATCTCCTTTCAAAAGAGAAGCAGGGAGATGATCAAGAAAGATATATATTGACTCAGTTAAATATATAGTTTCAATGAATCGACTAGTGCGTCATGTTTTCGTTACTCGGAAATCTCATGCTCAAACTAGAATTACCAAAGAGTTCAGCATGATCAACGGTCAGTTGTCATGAACTGTTATATGTATGCCTAACTACATTACCCACTGAAGACAGCAACTCCTTCCGCCTCATCTCGGTGACCGGTAATTCTAGTGTAACCTGCCAAGTAGCAAGAATCAAGTTCAAACACAGCAGTAAGAGCAGCAGAGTCCGGAACCGAGTGAAAGGCCCTTTTTTCCCCACAAAAGTTGGGAAGGATTCACTCTTAACTCAACCTATAACAAACCCTAATCTTTACACAAGAATTAGACTGGCTTATTTTCTTAGTCTACTTTCAAGAATGCTTGGAAATGATGCAGAATGTCCCTTCTGCTGTTCTACAAATGCTTACCTCTTTGAAGACTTCGCTATGTGAAACTTGCTCAAATCTCTACAGCAACGAAATGGAACATTGGTTAAGCCTAACTGAAAGCACATTTCGCAAAATTTCAAGGCGCACAGGGAGAGAAGAGAGAAAAAGAGATTGACCAATTTTTGGAAAAGATGAAGAGATGATCCATTTGCTTCTCCAATCTTAACACGGAACATATGGATCCCAAGGCTCTCGATCGCATAGGCCATCATCATAAGAACCGATTCCTTCCCAAGTCCTTTGCCGCGGCTACACACCAATCACATATATATATATACATAGTTAAGGTCTATTGAGATTTTGACAAGCATATGTGTCACTACTCACTACACAGAATGAAACAACACAAGGCACTAATACCTACCTTTTCGGTTCAGCTATCATAATCTCGACTTCAGCCATTTGTGGATCATCCAAGTCGTTCATATATATATTTACATCGCCCACCATAGCTGCAAAAAGAGCATAAACGCACCATTGGAGAGGGTTTTTTCAGATCATCAAGTTCCGAGTTTTTTTAACCTAAACTGACATCAAAGCTTGAAGCTTTATCCAATACCCAGAAGAATTAAACTAAGCAGGAACTGAGAAAACAAGAATAAACAGCAAACTGAACTTACCTTCGACATGGGGATCTCCATGAACAAACCCTCCTTCGAGGAAATCCTTGTCCAGAACAATAAAAGTCCTTTCTGCAGAAACGAATAATGGTAAGGAAACCCACCTTCAAAATTGGAATTAGGGAATGGAGTGAGTAAGAGAGAGAGAGAGAGAGGGAATACTGAGAGGGTCTCGAGTCCAGGAGAGCTGCATAGTGTACTCTTCTTCGAGGGAAAGCGGGTCGGATCCTGTGGCTTGGAGCAGAGCCGGGTCCTGCATCCATTCGTGGTACCTGGGGACATGGGCTTCCATGTAAGGTACCAGTATCACCTTCTCTCCTTCCAAGCTCACCGCCGCCATTGATCAATCCAGAGGAGGAGGAAGTAGAAATCAAATCAATCCAGTACTGAAGTTGATGGGAATCAGCAGTGGCGAGTACTGACTACTGAGTACCGGCTGCCCGCCCAAACTCGCTACTGCTTACAACGTTTTCTTGTAAGATACTTCACTGTTTCCCTTTCGGAGGATGGGCCAGAGACATTGTCCACTATCGATGGTGGGCCGTGGGCCCTGTGTCACAGCTACGTGCTTGTTCGCCACCAAACTTAGATTCGGTACAGATAACGTTCAACTCACTTTGCTTACCTTCAAAGCCAAACCACGAAACAAGTGACAAATCCTTTGAAGACCCCTTTTGTAGATGTGAAAAATACACTTTTCCTATCTAGGCATTGATGGACTCGTGAAGGAGAAAGAAACAAACTCGTATGTCACATCACTTTTCGTGATTGACTCCATTTTTTTTTTACTTAAATCATATTTATAATTACAACTGCATTAAATGCTTGTAATAACAAAGCAACAAAACTATGCTAAATAATATGGATCTCATGAATACTCAAACCATGTGAATTTAGATTATTATTGGATCCATAACAACTATGGGCTACATCCAAAGAGAGATCGAGAACTTAGAAGACACTTGACCCAAAAAGAGTCATTGGCAACGATTCAAAGAGGTACTTGTTAGACGCATGAAGAAAGACAAAAAAGAGCAATGTGTCCACATTTTAGGAATGTGTTGGGTCCTGAGCCTAGAAAGAATAGTTCATTATACGTGGCGGCAAAATTCAATAAAAGGTAGAAAATATGTCAGGACTAAACCGACCCATGAGTTGAGAGACCTTTTTACCTGTATAAGTAACGGGAAAATGATCGCATTTAAGGAGGTGACATATTCTCTCTCTCTGCTAAGACTTACTCCTCTCACTAGAAGCATCAAATGTTTTATCGTTGGAGGGCAAATGAATAAAAAAACATGGGTGCTTCCCTCATAAGTTAACTCGAAGCCTTGGAGACTCCAATCTCAATCAAAGCACTGAATCCACAGTATCTTATCAAAAATATCAATCTACTGCATTAAACTAAAGATGGCTCTTATACATACTTGCTTAGACATGTATACCACAACTGCACAAATTAATCACTCATGTTTGTTCTCGTGAGTAACATTGACAAAGAATTTTGAGAAAAGAGATGTTAATAGACATTCATTTCTCCTTAAGTACCACTCAACCCCAGCATAGCCACTAATTCCAACTTTAATTATTCTCCAACAAGCTAACCACCAAACCCTAACTCCTTTCCCTTCAAAGGTACGCTAGCTAGAACTACCTAAAGAACATAGAGGAGAAGAAAATCTTTAAGATAAAGAAGGGAAATGAAATGAGCGAAGCCACCATACCGTTTCCACAAGGAACTTTTTGCTCACTACTAACAATCATGAAGGAAGCCACTACTACTCTGTACTCATTTTACTCCAAAACAAAAGCATCCACCCTTCACAACCAAGACCCATAAAAATGTCCCCATAACCTTCCCTTTTTCACTCCCCCTCTCGTTCCTCTTCAATCTTCATTCCTTCCTCCTCACATCTCTTCCCTTCACTAACCACCATGCCATTCCTTCACTACTTTTGCCATCTCCATCTCCTCCTCCTCTCCTTCCATGCCGACACCGCCTTCTCCGCCCGTTGCGCCACCTCCACGGCCAAGAAAGAGTTCCAAAAATGCATGACTCTCCCCACACAACAAGCTTCAATAGCATGGACTTTCCACCCTAGTAATGCCACCTTAGACCTTGTGTTCTTTGGCACCTTCATTTCACCTTCCGGATGGGTTGCACTAGGCATCAACCCGACATCAGCCGAGATGACTGGGACACGTGCCCTAATCGCCTTTTCGGATCCAAATTCCGGTCAGTTAGTCCTCCTTCCCTACATCCTAGACACTACAGTCAAGCTCCAGAAGACGCCCCTCGTCTCCCAACCTTTGGACATCCATCTCCTGTCGTCCTCAGCTGCCCTCTATGGTGGCAAGCTAGCCACCATCCACAATGGCGCTGCGGTCCAAATCTTCGCAACGTTGAGGCTCGAACCGAACCACACCAAGGTCCATTTCGTGTGGAACAGGGGACTATATGTCCAGGGCTACTCCCCAACCATCCACCCCACAACTTCAAACGACCTTTCCTCCATCTCCACAATCAACATTCTCTCGGGATTCACCTCATCGCAAATCGTACACAACACAAAGACGCTCAAAATGGTTCATGGAATCATGAATGCCATCTCGTGGGGTGTGATGCTTCCTTCTGGGGCAGTCGCAGCTCGATACTTCCGCCACATCCAGTCCCTCGGACCAGCGTGGTTCTATATCCATGCTGGAGTGCAGCTCTCTGCCTTTTTTCTAGGGACCGTGGGCTTCGCCATCGGGCTCAAGCTAGGGAATTCATCCCCTGGGGTGACCTATGGCCTCCACCGGAAGTTAGGGATCGCGGCGTTCTGCCTTGGAGGACTGCAGACACTGGCACTGCTGTTTCGACCCAAGACCACCAACAAGTACAGGAAGTACTGGAAGTCCTACCACCATTTTGTAGGGTATGCTTGTGTGGTGATTGGGGTGGTGAATGTGTTTGAAGGGTTTGAGGTCATGGGAGCTGGAGGGTCTTATGGGAAGTTAGCATACTGCTTGTGTTTGTCAACCCTGATAGGAGCTTGCATTGCTTTGGAGGTCAACTCGTGGGTGATCTTCTGCAGGAAGTCTAAAGAAGACAAATTGAGAAGAGAAGGGATCATCTCTGATAAAGGGAGTACCGATCTAATCCATAGCTAAAAGGAACCAACAGATCAAATTTTGACTGAAACGAAGCATCTTTTACATTATGATATCATTATAATGAAACGAACCATCTTCTGTGTTTGAATATAGCATTGTGTAAGAAAAAAGTGGAGGAAAAGAACGACGACGCAAAAAAGTATAAGCAATTTGATAATAATAGTATTTGTTTATTTATGAGAAACCCTAGATGGGTATCCTTCAGAAAAGTTTTGTTCTCTCTAGCTGCACTAGAACATTCAAGCTCAACAATACAGACATAATCCGAGGGGGATAAGGAATACAGCAGAGAGGAAAATATACCTGACAAGAATCCACAAAACTGCCAGGTATGCTACAAAGAGACCTTGATCGAAACCAAAAGAGAAGGAACAAAAGAAACCCTATGTAATCATATCCATTTTTTGGTATGGCTGCCGCAAGCTGATGTACATTTCACTCAAATAACCAACAATGCTAAGAATCAAAGATAGAATCCCCCTACAAAGCACTCAAACAATAACATGATAGTCTCCCTTGTAACTTCTTCTATGTATTATCCCTAAAGCTTTTAACTTAAACTCTTCCTTCTTAAGACCAGGGCACTCCACAGTTCATCTCCAGAAAACCCCATGGTAAATCCTTCTTTAACTAAGACAGTAAATATACTTATCGAGGTAGGGGGAAATCTGTGGTAGTACACAGTAATTTCCACCAGCTTCAACAGATTGATCCTCCTAGGTAGCAATTCCTGATTCAAACCAAGAGATCGCAGTAAAAAGAATCCCATTAGAATCCCACCAATATAAGATGATAAAGAAGCAAATTTTTATTCAACAGATGGTGTTCTTAGTTTGTTACCTCTAGTTGCCTGTCTTTTATTAACACTATAGCCACCAACAAAACCAGGAGAAGGGCTTTTCACTGCAACATCTGAAGTTGTATTGTTACTGCCAAGCGGAAGCCCCCCATCTCGCCAAGCGGGATCTCCATAATCTTCGGAACCACCACCTCCAACATAGAGATGATCACCTATCAATCCTCCATCAAACCCACCGCCCGACGAAGCAGTATGGTTCATCACACTGCTGCTTCTTCCTCCTCCATATCCACCTGCAGTAGACCCCAAGCTAAAGCTGTTCTCCCCACCGCCATATGAGAAATTCAGACTATTGTTGGGTACATTGTTGTTGCCTTCATCACCCCAGCTGATACCACCTCTGTTGCCAAATGTGTTTCCAGGTCCCGCATAAGCATCATCTAGACCAGCAGAGTTGGTAAGCCCTCCATTTCCCCACATGTTCCTAGTAACTGAGCTGAAGAATGAAGTATTTCCTCCATTATTACTACCTGCAGTATCGTACCCTATTGGATTACCAAACCTATTTGTGTTCTCAATGTAATAAGGATGATGATTCATCATCCCCCTGAACCCGCCGTTAAAATTCCCACCACTCCCTCCATATGCAGCTTGACCCAAACCTGGCTCAAAATTCAAACCCATCCCGTAACCCGACCCGAAATTGGGACCAAACCCACTTCGACTGGCGGCAACAGGACTGAACCTTCCTCCGTGGTCCATTCTAAGCCCATACCCAACTGTTCCCGGGTTATATCCTTGATTGTAACCACTAAGAAAGCTGCTACTAACCCTACCGAGACCATAGTTGTTTAGTGGAGATGTACCACGGCTGGGACCAGCTGGAGATAGCTCCTTGGGGACTGCTCTCTTGACCTCGACCATTTTCCCATTGAGTTCATGGAAGGTCTTCAAGTGGAGGACTTTGTCAACTGCTTCCTCGGAATCGTATGTTATAAACCCGAACCCTCTTGGCCTCTGCGTGTTGTGATCATACATGACTACCACATCCGTGATTGTTCCAAACTGCTCGAAGTAGTTACGGAAATCGGTTTCTGTGACTGTGGATGCTAACCCTCCTACAAAGATTTTTCTGGTTCGGCCTGGACTTGGAGAACCATATTGAATAATGCTACTTGTTGTTCTGTGAAGAATGTTTTGATCATCCTTAGGAACAGCTTTCTTTGCCTCCACCTGATCAAATTGTCAAGTTACATCAAAGTCGCGTTCCAATATTAATGATCTTTCATCACCAATCAATCATAAAACACTACCTACGGACACTTATAAAAACATACAAAAGAGTTTCTTATCAACTCATTCTCAGGGATCAGACCATTGATGCAATCAAACTTTCACCTAATGCTAGCATTGTTTTCACCAAATTCCAATATTCAAATTTGTCATAGTAATGATCATTTTGCATTCAACCGTTCTGTTAGTAATCTGATTCCAAGTCAGGTCAGGTAAGTAAGATGACACCCACACGATAGAACTCTAGCTACGGACAGTTGAAGAACAAGAAACAGCTTCTTATCAACTAGTTCACACGATTACAGACCATTGCAGTCATACTTTCAGTAATAATTTTGTGGTTTCAGCAAATCCCAGAGTCAAGCTTCTCATAACAACGAACATTCTGCATTTGAGCCACTGATCAGTAGCGTTACGAACCTAATTCTAATTTGAACCAAGTACAATCACAATTCACAACGAAGATACAACTCTGCCTATAGATACTTAAACAGCAAAAAAGAGCCATGTTTTCAGTACATTTCGGAATCAAACATTCTAAAACAATAAGCATATTTCCTATATGAACTATTGGTCTGGCGTCACTCATCTAAAGTGCTCCTCGCCAAGTAATTCACCACCGCCTCGACCATTGCAATCAATCAAACTCGTCACTGATGCTGACGTTTGTTCATTAGACTAGGAAGAGAAGGGGAGGAAAAAGAAACTGACCATTCTTCCATCGATGTTGTGCTTCTCTTGAGTGACCCGCTCGGCGACGGCTCCATCGGCGAAGACCACGAAACCAAAGCCGCGAGCCCGACCGGTGGTCCGATCCTTCATTATCACGGCTTCCACGACCTCTCCGAACGACCCGAAGTATTCACGGAGCCGGTCTTCGTTCGTGTCCCACGAAATCCCGCCGATGAACAGCTTCCCATTCTCCGATGACGCTTGCATCTTCCCTTTTCTTATTTCGTTTTGCCTAAATTCCAAAACTTTACCTGGATCCAATCAAAACCCAGAAACGGGGGGAACGATGAACGATCAAATCAAGCAAAAGCGATCGGAGGAAATGAAACATGGGATATTCAATCTTACCTCGAATGCTACTAAAAGAAAGACACAAGGACGCGATCAATCAACCAAACCTGCAAAATGAAAAGCAGGAAGACCCGGTAAGGGGATAACGGAAAATGAGATTGGTAAATTCCGAATCGAGGAAGGACAGGAGAAGTCGAACCGATTTGAGCAGAACCCAGATGCCAAATCTGAGGGAAAGCACGGGAACCGTGATTTGAGAGGGCATGCTCATTATTTTCCTCCTCCCCTCTGCAAATCATGCCCTCTTCTTCCTCTTCCTCTCTTGTTCGAAATCTAGAATTGGGTTCATTAATTAAAAAATAATGAAATGGGATTTAATAATCATAGAAATGGGGGAAACGAGGAGGCGAGGGATGTCTGTGGCGTGAATTGAGAACTAAATAGGTGGGATGGAGACTAAAATGAATCGGATAGAAGAAGATGGAGGAGGAAGGGGGAACTGATTTTTTATTTTGATTTTTTTATCTTTTTTGGTTATAGATATGATCTTGGGAATGGAATGTGGCGTTAGAATGGTAGTTTAATGTTTTAGTAGGCGGGGGCAAAGAAAAGAAAATAGTTTAAATTGCTTGCACTTGAAGGCATAAGAGGAGAAAAATGGGGACGAAGAGTGTAAAGAGTAGGAGTTCGAGAGGAAGAGCTTTGCTGTCTTCAAGCTTTTCTTCTTCCTCGGTCCGTCTGTTTATATTTATACTTGGAGAAGGGAGGGGGAAATGAAAACAGAAACGATAACACTGTTTTTTGTTGGGATTTTTATTTTCTTATTTGATGAACATTGTAATTAGAGGTGGTAAATGGATTGATCCATGGATTGGTGGACGGGATTGGTAAATCCATGGATCAAATGGATTGGTGGATTTATGAATTGGATCAAGTGGATCGGTGGATTATCCATGAATCCAAATAACATCCTCAACCAAGGACCAATATGTAAAATATGAAAAGTTTAGGTACTAAAATGTCATAATGAAAAGTTTTAGGTACCAAAACGAAATTTTCCAATGATATTTTCATATTAAAAATTAAAATTTGGGTACCAAAATGTAAAATATAAAAAGTATAGGTACCAAATCGTAATTTGTCATTTGCATCCATGGATCAATCTATGAATCCACCAATCCAACTAGATTTGGATAAAATGGATTGAATTTAAATGGATTTGATTAAGTGGATATTTTTAATGGGTCGGTGGATTGGATTGAGAATTGCCACATCAAATTGTAATTGATCCAAACTTCTTATTAGATTAATTTTTTTACACTTTGTGACAAATATAGCAAAAATTTGAAAAATACACAAAACTAGTACAAAATTTGACAATGTCGTGACAGTTATAGACATTTCCGTTATAAAATATGACATCGTTAGAGACGTCGTCAGTTACTTGTTCGCATCGCTGAGGTGGCTGCCATTTGGACGCCACGTCGACGCCAACTAGACTGAAATTGCCTCCTCTGCGCCACATCATCGCTGGTGCAACTCTAGTTCCCCTATCTCGCTTCCATCTTTCCGTCGACGACTCCTCCTTCCTGCTCGCTCACAGTCTGCATCTCCCAACTGATTGATGTCACAAAGGGGCATTCGGGGTGCTCGCAAGAATGCGCTGATTTGGGTTCAACAAGCGTCAAAAGTGGGTGTTCTATCATTTGCGAACACAATGTCCCAGTTGTGATTAATACCTCTAGGACTGAGTTGAATCCAGGAAGGCAGTTCTATGTCTGTCGTTATTGGAAGGTAAGGCCATTTCATTGCAATTTTATGATTTTATATGTTTGTTGTTTGTTGCCTGAGGAGGGATGATGGTTTGCAGGATGGGAAGGGATGTACATTTTTTAGGTGGGTGAACGGCAATGAGAATGAATTCGAGTCAAGGAACCATGAGATGGAGAGTGTTATCATGAACTTGGAAGAGAGATTAAGGTTGGCCGAGTCCAAGGCGGAGAGGAGGAAGAAGGGAAAAAAGTTGATGACGGAAGAACTAAGAAATTGGATGCAAGTTCTCCAAGTTAGATTAGTTGAAGAGATCCGGGTCATGAGATATATGATGAATGTTTTGTATTTTTCATGAATGTGTTCTAGTTTGTGGTTCTATGGAGGAAGGATTGTGGCATGTAAGTTCGGGTTGAACCTGAATTTGGTGATGTAACTTGATGTCGAACCTGAATTTGGCAATGTATTTTGATGTTGAACCTGAATGTGGTATGTAAGTTGATGTTGACGCCAAAACACAACACCAAACTGCGACCAAGTGTAATCGCAGTCCGGGAATGCAGTAACAGACAAGTTCTATTATCAACCCGGGGTCTAGATCTACTGCTTACTCCGTGATTATTTATTATCTAGCCAACTAATTCGATTGATTGTTGTTTAAAGCAAAAGCAGTAAGAAAGCAGGAAATTGTTCGGTTTTTAAAAGCAGGAAAGAGTCACTCGGGAATGAGTCCCCCTAGCTCCTTAGTTAGGTTCAATTGTAATTACCCTGGGTTGATTTACTGTTGATTAGACTGCGGAAGATCCGACAGTAGCTTGGAATCTCTTAAGCTGACCAAGCCCTCTCAGTCTAACTACCCGGCAGACGACTAGTCTTCACCGGGATAGAAAGCTGAAGCAATAAGCACAGAACTCCACCACTGGAATTGAATTCCAGTACAAAGCAGTAAACTGAATAACTCTCCTATAGCCAATCTCCTACTTTCGAATGAAGAGGCTCTAACAACCTAATCAGATTCTATCTATCTCAGGTTGCAGCAGAAATCAAGGAAAGCTGATCAGACTTTAATCAATTCAATAAACATGCATCATTCGATTAAAACCAAACAGTATAATCATCCCAAGTCATTACAATCAAATCCCTAACACCAGGAACTAGGGTTCTTCATACCCAAGTGAGAGAAGGGTTCTACTCCATAGAGAGAGAGAAGAAAACAGTAATCAGAGTAGTCATACTCATAAAGATGAGAAAAATCTGCTCTGGGATGATGATTTCCACTCCTATGACGATCTCCAGGCTCGATTTGATGAAACCCAGCTCCAAGATAGCTTCTAGGATGTGTTCTTCTTACTTTCTCTCTCTAGGGCTCTGTTTTTGCTCTGAAAACTTGATTCTTCTCACTTTTGGCTCGGAATTGGCTGAAAAACCAAGATTTCCCGACTCACACGGCAGGCCACACGGCCGTGTGGCTCACCCAGTTGCCCGTGTGAGTCAAAACGCGCCGTATCAATTAAGTCGAAATTCAGGCATCCCACACGGCCAGGGTCGCACAGCCGTGTGGATTTCCTGCTCTGCCCGTGTTTGCTCTCGGCGAAAATCACACGGCCACAATTGTAAGTTGCACGGCCGTTTGATGTCCAGGACTTCCCGTGCGGCTTCCTTCGCACCTCGCCACGCGTCCGATCTTCATCCAATCGACCCCAAACTCGCTCCCAAGCCTCCATTCACGTACTAGGACCTGAAATATCACAAACAAGCACAACCTAGCGTGAAATCGGCCTAAAACACGAGAATCAACACCTCAAACGATGTAAGAACAGGGGTAAAAATATGTGTAATTAACGGTCTATCAAACTCCCCCACACTTAACCGTTTGCTTGTCCCCAAGCAAACCAAGTCAGACACAAGGCAAGCTTACATATTTTAATCAACCAACATTGGGGACAAGTCATAAAGGCACAGAACACGTGAATCGTACTGGTTTTCAAGCATCAACACATGAACAACTTCAATAGCAACCTGGACAACCACCACAAAGGACATTCGAGAGCAGCAAAATCGAGCAAAGGAAGAGTCTCCCTTCTGTTCACCAACCAACCTAAACTTGACTCAACCACTTACTCAAAACAGTCAACTCATGCATCCAACTCACGACATCAGAATAGAGACCGAGCAATCTAGCTAGGTCCTCACCGGGGTACAAGAGCAAACAGTTGAAAAACTGAACCCCTACATAATTCTACTGCACATCTCAGTCCTCATCATAGGTTGTCCTAGTCACAATCAAGCTGTCATGCATCAATCCGAAAACCATTCAATTCATCAATCAAAACACAGTGCCAATATGATCAAACAGCAGTACTTGGAGCCCTCAAATCGTAAGATTCGGACATCGGACTAGGCTCCAAGCACACAAATATATATTCCAACCGATACAAAGCACCCCCCTCCCCCACACACTTAAGCACGACATTGCCCTCAATGGAGTAGAGGGAGAGATAAGGGGAACGATGTTACCGGATTGAAACACTGCTGGGGGACTGGAAGTGGACCAGTCAGCGGGGCTAGCATCAGCAAAACACACTGGGTGATAGAAACCATAGTTCCAAGTGGACAAACCGACAAAAACAAACGAAAGAAAAACAAACCTTGGTGGGGTTGCCTCCCCACAAGCGCTTCTTTTACGTCTTAGCCAGAGGGTGGCTCCTAAGTTTCGGTCCACCCCAAAACCTCCTTGAAGTTGAGGTTCTCATTAATGAGGTGGAGTCTCAAGTCACGAGCATGTGATGTGATAGGTGATGAAGATGGCTCGTGGCCTTGAGGAAGATGAAGTCTCCACTCTCGAGACCTCTCCTTCGCGTCTGCTCTTGTCTCATTGCCCCAAACCAGATAAGATACATTCGATTGACCACCATCGCATCCACCAAGAGGGATTGATGTTGATGTGGTCTTAGTCTGGCAAAGAGACACTGCAAATGGGTCCTTGCCAAGCAGCTCCTCGAAGTTTGGTGGAGATATCAAATGTAACATAGGCCCGGTGCAAGCCTCTTCCACCTCAACTTCATCCTCAGCCTGGACGCCAATTGCCTCCACAACCCCCCCTTCCTTCTTCAAAATGTGGTCTCTCCCCTTGGAAAAGATCAAGAACTACCTCTTCTTTACTTTCTTCCTCATCCTCCACAACTTCCTTCCTCATCCTTGCTCGCTCTTCTTCTTCTAGAACAGATTGGAGAGCAAATTGCCAAGCAATTTCTTCAATGGGATCATCTTGCATCTCCTCGCATAGGCCCAGCATGTTAGAGCATAAATGAGGAATGGTGTGATCTGCCACCAGAGGACTTTCCTGATCATGATCATCATGGGAGTTCTCTGTGATAACTTCTGTAGGCTCCTCAATGCCCCCGTTGCCCTTGTCATTCTCCACCTCTTCTAGCGTAGTAGCAGAAAGGTGATCTTGAGCAGGATGTGAGCAAACTTGCTTCACCCACTCTGTTTGCTTCGCTGAGCACTGAACAGTCTGCTCCATGTCATGGAGAAATGAGGGATCGGACGAGGCAAGGGCTTGGATTTGAAGATCCATCTTGGAGCATGCTCTCTCAGTGTCTCGAGCAAACTGCTCCACGAGAAGCCTTAATTGTTTGTTCGGATCTTCCAGTGAAGCGTAGCATGGCTCTGCAGAGTGGCCCGCGAAGGCCTCTGTGCCTAACTCCAACTCAGATGGCCCCTCTGGTTGTGGCAGGAACTCTTCTTGAAAAGGATATTGTTCTTGAGGTTCCCAAGGGTTTGGTTGTTCTCCATAGTAGGGGGGTTGGTAC